GTCTGTAGGATAGCTTCACATTCCACAGGAAGAGACTCTGGGTATTATGTTTGTTCCATTTTCTTGTCATATATGTTTATCCAGGTGAATATGAGGAAGATTTACTACTTTGTAAAAACAGTTCACAACAAAAGACAAATATTAGCATCTAGACTGTTTTCCACAATTATATTGAGCCTGAAAATCAGGTAACAGATCCAGAGCTGAGATGACTTTGGAGTAAAGTAGCGCTACAGAGATAATCAAAGTAACGGGGAGAGGGGCATGGAGAGAGGAGGATGGGTAAATAGGCTTAAATAAGCCAATTTACGTGACTCAGAATGCTGCTAGGACCATGGTGTTACTCTAGATTAGAGTGAATATTCTTGAGGATCTAAGGTATTGGGGAATATTGTTTCATTGGAGGATGAAGAGAATAGACTATGGAGCATCAGACCTAAATTTGGTGCACTCAGAAGTCCTTTGCAGGGAAAAAGAAAGGCAACAGATCATTGAGCTCTTTTTAAAGTGGGAGAGGAGGGACCTCCCTGGTGGCAATAAGCAGTAAGTCTCAGCACTATGAAGCTATGTGCAACCACTGCAGCATAAGTTCGATCACTGGAACCCACTTGGCTCAGCAGACTTCTGTCTTCCCCTACCCACTACTCCCCTCAGCAGTGTATTTCAGTCAATCTACTTGTTCTGCTCCCCACTCTGTCTCTGCCTCTCAACCTCCCCTCTCCCCCGCCTCTGGCCTATACCCCAGCATAAATAAATAAATCTTAAAAAAAAAAAAAAAAGTGGGAGAGAGGATATTGTCCATACCCTTAGCTAAGGTTCTATGACACTCTACATGGACTGGATTTTGCTGGAAGTTTTCCTCTGAGAGCAGAGTTCCAGGATATTACAAGGTATTGGTATTGCTATACTCATGCACTCATCTATAAGTGGACGTGGGAGAAAGAACTGGCTTTTAAAATTCAGCATCTAGGGTTAAGAGTAGGAGATGGTATCCCTTCTCTTTTAAAAGCAAAGAATCTGGGCCTTCCTGGTGGCACAAGGAGTTAAGACACAACCTATGAAGCCATCTGCAGCCACTGCAGCATGAGTTCAATCCCCGGCCAGGGAGCTACCCACATGGCGCAGCAGACCTCTCCTGTCTTGCCTGCTGCTCCCCTCAGCAGTGTATTTCAGTCAGTCTGCCTGTTCTGTTCCCCACTCTGTCTCTGGTGACTCCTCTCACTCCACTCCTCTGGCTTGTCTCCCAGTTCTTGTGTGCATAAATAATTTAAAAACAAACAACAAAAAAAAAGGCAAAGAATCTGCTGCTTAAGCAGTAGCAGAACAGTGCTGGAAGTAAATGGAAGGAGAAGCTGCAGATAGGAGAGCAAACTTGCTCATTCTAGTGATAAGTTTACCATGGCCACCATCCAAAAGCCGTCAAGAATTTCATAAGCCTGGGGAGAGGTAATCTGACAAAAGCAGAGAAAAGGAAAAGAGGAAACAAATAGAAAGAACTCATTGCTACTCCATCACAATTCATCTAACGGTACTTTAGGTCAGGAAAAAATATGTGTAATAAATAATCTTTATATTGGTTACATTTTATTGAATACCTATGATGCAGGCAATTTTACACTTAAGTCATTTAATAATTCCCCAAATCTACAGAATAAGGAAATTAATGCTCAGAGAATTTAAGACGACTTAAACCACACTTAGTGGAGGAAGAGGGATTTAAAGGGGAGGGTCTGCTGCCAGAAATTCTCAATTTATTCCATTACATACCATAACATCTCTCCAAATTTAACCTGTTGGATTTTGTAGTTTGATTTTTAGAGACTGCAAATGTTAGGGGGAAAAGGATGTCCCAAAGCAAATTCCATATAGGCTTTGTGGACTTCACCCCCACCCCAGGTCAAAGCTAAAGACACTGGGAACTCCAAATCCCATCACCACCAAAGGGAAGGTGGCTGGGACCTGGGGTGGGGTTAAGCAGCCAGGTGGATACAAAAGGCAGACACGTGGGCTTTGGGGCTCTCTCCATTTTTGGGCTCTTGGCCAGCAGCAGCGTCCGGTCAGCTCTGAGAGTGACTTTGGGGTTTCCAGGTCGTCGGATCGGGTAGGACGCATTAAAGACTTTATTTCCCTATTTTCTCCCTGAGTTGTACATTTTCCTTATTTCCTTTTCTCTTGTAAACAAACCTTTTATTAACCCTTTTGCATGTGTCTGTAGTAGAGTATTCATAAGTCCCTTTAAAGCGCGCGGGTGAGGACCCACAGCCAGGAACCCGTTTAATATCGGGGTTGCTCTATAACACAAAGAGTAATGGATAGCTAAACAGGGTTGAAAATCAAGGGTTAATTTATTGCTATCTCTGATGAGTTAAAAAGAATTAGTTTAATGTGCTATCATAGGCCACACTCTATATAAAACCTTTTTTAGTTTTATTCATTCTAAGTTGGTGTTTGGTTTGAAAATGTTTAAGGTGGCTACAATGTAGCCTAAGGGTTAGAGGGGAGCTGGGAGTGTTACAGAGCAGCCCGCATATAAAACGGTTGCCTGGCTGTGGGTCCTCACCCGCGCGCTTTCAAGAGACTTATTAATACTCCACTACAGGCACACACAAAAGGTTAATAAAAGGTTTATTTACAAGGGAAAAGGAAATAAGGAAAATGTACAACTCAGGGAGAAAATAGGGAAATAAAGTCTTTAACGCGTTCTACCCGATCCGACAACCTGGAAACCCAAAAAGCACTCTCCGAGCTGGCCAGACGCTGCGAGCTGGCGGATAATCAAAATAGGGGACTCCTCCAGAGCCCATGTGTCTGGCTTTATACCAACCTGGCTGCTTAACCCCACCCTCAGGTCCCAGCCACCTTCCCTTTGGTGGTGATGGGATTTGGAGTTCCCAGTGTCTTTGGCTTTGGCCTGGGGTGGGGGTGGAGTCCACAAAGCCTGTATGGAATTAGCTTTAGGACATCCTTTTCCCCATAACAATTACCCCCTTTCACTTTATGCCCCCATTTCCGTGGTGATGAAGATGGAATATATGGATGTTGGGATGCAGTCTCAGATGAGTATTTTTACCAGGTTTCAGTGTGAAAGAAAACCAGTCCCTCCAGGTATTTGTCCATTGTGGAAAGCAAAAGTCTTCTATTTCTGGAAAAACAGTTTAACAGTTCAAGCCAAAAAAAAAAAAAAAAAAAACATATGGAGGCTTTAGCCAAAACAAGACAGCAGATATGTCAAAATCACAGGAAAAAAAATCTTAAAATGGTTGTATGGAATTAGCTTTAGGACATCCTTTTCCCCCTAACAGTTTCACCAGAGCTTCTATTTCAGCAACACGCAGCGAGTTTTCCAGGCAAGTTTCTCCACGAGACAGAGACGGTAGTTATATTTAAAGGGCAGGTTTATTAGGGAAGGGATAAAAGTTAAAGACACTTGCATAGACACAAGCAGGCAGGAAGAGCTGCCTCAGAAGGGACAGATTTGCTGAGAGAGGCCTGCATGATTGCAGGCGGGTGGTCTTGACAGGTCACAGGCAGGCAGGAAGATGCTGCCCTGGAGAGGGAGACAGTTGGTGAAATGAGGCACCAGCATAGTTACAGGTGGGCAGTGGGAGTGCTGATACAGTCTTCAGCAATCTGAAGACTGATAGAGTCTTCTTCTGTTTGGGAGGGCTCACTCTTTGTGAGCTATCAGTTGGTTGTTAATTTTGGATCACTATGTAGAATTTGAAAGGAACCGGAGATTCTACAATGGGCTCAATCTCCATATCTTTACCTTTGCATGCCGGCCTCGCCCTCTGATACCTGCTTGGAAGTTTTGCTTTGTAATGGAGGCATCCGCGCCTAGGGATACTAGTTTCCCCAACTTTGTCCTGGGGCCTGAGGATCTATGTTTTCATAGCTGTGTCAATGGCTATGCTCTCTTCTACCCCCACCTCCATGTGTGAGCCAGGTTTCTGGTCTTGTGGCACACCTCCTTTTCAGTTGTTTTTTTTTTTTTTTCATTCTTGTCCTCCATCACTGGGGTGGGTGAAATGATGTTATTAGTAGGTGTTACCTGTAAAATGTCATGTTGAGCGAGAATCCTTATCAGGAAGGCGGATACTCTTTAACAATGCTTTTTTGAAATTTTATTCTAATCACATTTCACATTAAACCAACATACCTTAAACTATATCACTGAGCAAATATTTATCACTAGTTAAAATTATTTATGTAAAAAATATAGTTAAAATTATAATTACATGTAAAATTATATATATAATCACATGTAAATTATATATAAAATTATATATTTGTACCCAGCTTTCACCCCTGGGGTGGCCGGGAGGTAAAAGTGTTCCTTTCTCAGCACACACAGGCACTTCAGTGCCTTAGCAAAGCTTCACTCCAGATCAGTGACTCTGCACTCTACAGATAACACCCACTTAAAAGTTGGTAAGTGCCTGATTTTCCGTCGGTTAAGTTAGCTGACCCTTCTTGGGATGGTCCCGGAAGGCAAAAGGCTTTTGGTTTTGGCCTTTACCCGTCCCGAGGCGCCATGGGGCGTCCCACCAGCGAAAGGGGTGCGCCCCGGCCACGCCCCTTCCCCTGCTCCGAGGCCCCGCCTTCCCCTGCTCCCGCGAACTCAGCCCGGGGGCGTGTCTCCGCGGCCCCGCCCCTTCCCCTGCTCCCGCGAACTCAGCCCGGGGGCGTGTCTCCGCGGCCCCGCCCCTTCCCCTGCTCCCGCGAACTCAGCCCGGGGGGCGTGTCTCCGCGGCCCCGCCCCTTCCCCTGCTCCCGCGAACTCAGCCTGGGGGGCGTGTCTCCGCGGCCCCGCCCCCCGGTGCCGCGCGCCCGGGCTTTTGGCGCGTTTCTGCGGCCTGGCCCCGCCCCGCCCCCAGGCGTCCCGCGGGCGGCAAAGCGCGAACCGCTGGTGCGGGGCCGGGCGGGTGGTCTGCGGCCCCGGGCGTGGCTCGGCCGGCCTGGGCCGCTCTCCGAGGAGCCTCCTCCGCCCGGGCGGGGCGATGCCGGGCAGCCGGCGGCCGCGGGCCCGCTCCGGGAACCAGCCTCGCCCCGCGCCCGCCATGGAGCCGGCCGGCCGCGGGGCCTGGGCCCACAGCCGCGCCGCGCTCGACCGGCTGGAGAAGCTGCTGCGCTGCTCGCGCTGGTACGACCGGCCGTGGGGGTGGCCGCGCGCCGGGCCCCGGGGTGGGGGTCGTCCGGGCCGCGCGTTTCCTCCCTCCAGCCCGCCGGGGTCCGGCCGCACCTGCCCGGGTCGGCCCCGCGCGTCCCCCCGCCCCCGGGCTCTCCAGCACCCCCCTCCGGCCCCCCCCCCCCCGGGCTCCCCGGCCCCCGGGCCCCCCGGCCCCGCCCGCCCGCGCGCAGCTGGGGTTGCAGTTTTCGAACTTTGGCGGGTCTGAGCGGCCGGGGGTGTGGCTGGGAGCGCGGGCCCTGGCCCCGCCCCCGGGGCTGGAATTAGGGGGCTGGGGGGTCCGGCGTCTGCACCCGGTACCGGCCGACCCCGGGGCGGGGGCCCCCGATTCCAGGCCCCCGCGCAGAGGCGCTGGACGCGAGGCCGCTGTCGCCGGGCCAGCTCGCCCTGCCGCCTCCCGGGGCCCGGGCCTGGGGTGGGGGGGGAGCCGCGAGCAGCCGGGCGGGCCGGGGTGCTGGTGACTGCGGTTTCTCGTCCCTCGGATTGTCCTACAGACGCTGGGGTTCGGGGTTCCAGCTCCTAGGGGTGATGGTGTTTGTCACGTTTTCCTGTTAACACCATGGGGGTCGCTCAGTTGAAGGTTTTCATTCCATCCGAAGACATTTTCTTGGCTGGTACTCCTTGCTTCTCCTTTTCCTGTAACTTTCTTTTTTTTAATTTTTATATTCCCCATACAATTGCACCTCCCCTTTCCCTGCCCCCCCCCCCCATAGTGTGTCTCTGGTTTATAGTTGTTCTTTGATTTTGATTTTTTCTTTCTTATAGTTACTCTTTTTCCTGGTCCCTTATTTAGGTTTTCTAGATTCCGGTGTAGCTCTTTATAGAAAGCAAGAAAGTATCTAAAGCTTAAGAATGGCTCATCTTGCTTTGCATTTCTTCCAAAAGCATTAATTGAGCACCTGCTGTGTGCGCAGCTCGGTATTAAAAACTGCACCGTTTTTTCTCCGCATGTAGGTGTAGGTGTCGGGACCGTGTTTCTTTTTTGGGATTTAGTTCTGAATTTTTTTTTCTGCTGATTTCCTACTTGAGCTTAATTTCTTGTCAGTAAGGTAGCCGCTCTTTAAAAATGAAAAGGAGGTACTGTCACAGCGACACGATTACTTTTCATTTTACAAAGTCTTTAAAACCCTTGACGAAATGACATCATTGCACCCAGTAAAGTGGCTTGACTTTCCTAGAATGAGTACATCAAGACAGCATTGTGGGTGTTTTCCCATAGCACATGGATCATACATCGGAGACTAGGAAATTTAAAATTGCTTCTGCTGGTTGCAGTAATAGGAAATCACACCTTAATAGTTGAAGAAAATTAGATATTCTGGTGGGACATTTTTCTTTGGTGCAGAAGTGTAATACCTGATTTGATACTCATGAGTGTCCTGTCGTTCACCCTTTGTATGCCTCAGTGTCATAGCTCTCAACTCATCCTCTGTGAGGATTCATTAAAAATAATAAAACAATTATCAAGCATCTACACAGTGCCAGATACTGCTCTAGGCATTGGGGATTCATTAGTGAACAAAGCAGACAAAATTCCCAGCCCGTTAGAAACTTGTGTTTTACCGGGGAGAAGAAACTAAATGAAATTATACATGTAAATTATTGAGTGTTGCTGGTTGTCAAAGAATAGTTGGTGCTAAAAATAACTTAGTTTGGTTGCTGCATGGTGTGAAATAGACAAAAGAGGTAATCCATGTCAGTAATCTATAGGTTGTCCTGAATTCTAAAAAAAAAACCAGTTTATTCCCTACCACATATTTTTCCAGTTTCCGACTGAAGTGAACTGACAGTGAGAGCCAAAGGACTGAATGTAGATGTCAGGGATGCTCCAGACATTCACTATAAACTTAGTTGGCTGGGGAATGGTATTGAATCCAGTGGTATATATATGATATATATATATGAGCTATTATTGATGGATTAACTAAATTTCATCGCTTTCTTGACATGGTTTAATATAGGACTCTTATTTAAATTTTTCTATAGAGGATCAGATGTTAAATATTTTCTTTGCTGGCTTTGTTCTTTTTAAAAAATATTTATGCATGTAAGAACTGGAGTACAGGCCAGAGGTGTGGGGGGTGAGAGGATTCATCAGCGATAGAGTGGGGAACAGAACAGGTGGATTGACTGAAATACACTGCTGAGGTGAATAGCGGGCAAGGCAGGAGAGGTCGGCTGTGCCATGTGGATCACCACCCTTGCTGGGGATGGAACTTACGCTGCAGTCTGTGGATGGCTTCATAGGCTGCATCTTAACCCCTTGCGCCACCTGGGAGGCCCCTCCCCCTTTTTTTAACAATTCTTAAAATTGTGAAAAACCACTGTTAGCCCCAGGGCTGTAGAGAAAGACTATTGACTTGAGTGGATATGCGGACAGCAGTGTGCAAAGCTATTTTAACAGGTAAAATGTCTTATGTTTAAAAAGACTTTTTGGTGCAAAATTCTTTAATCACTTGGGATTTTAGAACAATTTTGCTTTCCTTTTTTTAGTGTCTCTTCCAGTGTGGTGTTGTAGTGAATAAAAGTTGGCCAGTTGCACCTTAACTATGGGTGGGGGGAACCTCATTCTTTGCACTTCTGCTGCTGCCTAGTAACTACCTGACATCGTTGCTGAAAAGGAGCAACTCATATTCTGTTTTTTGCTCTTGCTACCCACCATTCAGTGCAGTGTCATATTATTTGAAATTGTATGTCAGTGTGTCCTTTTACAGAGTTTCAAAGTTCCACCAGTGAGCTGGTGATTACCCCGATTACCCTCACATTCAGCTTGCAGCTGTCATCTGTCTCATGTTCCCAGCTGTCATCTGTCTTGTGTAGCACATTGGATCTATTTTGCAGAGTGCATGATTTGCTGGTGAGGGTGGATTGGCTACATTACAGGGCATCCTTTCTTGACCTTTAACATAAGTATGGCTCCAAGGTGAAACTGATGAAATTGTTCAAGAGGCCAGATGTGACATTTGTGTTAGATCCAAGCTTTACAACCAGACAGAAGCTATTTAAAGATCTGGAAAAATGAGACAGGAAGACCATCTCATTTGAGAGGCCGGCAGCAAACATAGTAATAATGTGTTCCTAAAGGAAGCAGAAAATGATAATAGGAGCTGTAGTGTAAAAGCCCAGGTGTCCTGACATTACATTGTGAATTAAAGTAATTAGGTACCTCTTGACATATATACTTTTTTAGGGGAGGCTTCACATCCGTGACAATTGTGACTTAGAGTTCTACTGCTTTTTTATATCAACTTTTAGTAAAAATGTCAAAAAAAAGTTTTTTCTTTGGGGATGGGTGATTTGATTTTCTGAATTATATCTTGTTTAAAAGGTTATTAAGATTAATGTTTTTTTTCTGCTATTTGAGATAACACAGCTTAGTGATTAAGAGCATGGATTAGACTCTTAGTGATTTCGGACAAATTACTCCATTTTTATGTGCTTCCTTTCTGTCATATGCAAAATAATTCAGTAGTAGTACCTATAGAATAAGGTTGTTATGGGAATGAAATGACTTCATATTTATAAGGTACTTAGAATGGTGATGCCTGTTATGTTCCAAGTGCAAATATATGTTTGTAAAATTCTAAAGGGTAGATTTCCTGAACCCCAACATTCAACTTTTGCCTTCTTTGCTAGTTTCAAGTGTTCAGAGCCCTTCTTATAGGATAGGGATCCTTAAGTAGGACGATTACTCCCTTTTCGTTATGGTTTGCTCTGGTGCTGTTTATTAGGACAGCTGGCAGTCACTGAGGCACTATGCTAGTGGCGATATGGTGAGACATTTCCTTTCTAAAAAAGCGTACACTTAATTATAAAAAATAAAATTCTGTGCAGTTCAGGGTAAACTATAATGAAGGCCAGGGGGATGCTAAGAAGGGTGCTTGAGTGGAGCCAGGAGAGAAAAGCTTCATGGGCTTTTTAATTGGGCCTTGGATGAATTTTAATAGGTGGAGCCAGGTGGGGGGAGTGCTAATTATAAGTAACTATGCTAACAAGTATAGTAGAATAAAGGGCAAGTGAGTCAGTGGGCAGAGAGTCAAGACAGGGACAATCACAGTGACTAGTAGCTTTACAACAAACTCTTCAGTTGGCTCACAGTTACTTACAAAGGACAGTATTTGTGTAACTTTCCAGGGACTCTGCTGTTCTCATCTATAAAGTGAGGACGGTGGACTAACTTACTTTTAAGACTAACTGCAGTTCGTAGATTCCATAATTAGTAATGTTCATTGGATGCAAACTATTATTTGAAATTTTTTATTGAAGTTTGACATATATACAGAAAAGGCCATAGATCATTGGTGTTAGCAAACATATCACTCCAGCGTGTGAAATTTATTTATGTGGTATTCTGATTCTTTGATGTCTGTCTTCTTCAGCTATACTACACATTTCACATAGATGGGTTCACATTTGTAGTCACAGTGCTGGGCCGTAATGTCTTAGTGTTAAAATAATATATGAAATAATATAGGTTAAGTTAGGACCACATTTTTTTTTTAAACTTTTTAAAAGATTTATTTATTTATTTATACAAGAACCCTGGGGTACAGGCCGGATCTGCGGGAGGGTGAGAGGATTCACCAGAGACAGAGCGGGGAACAGAACAGGCAGACTGACGAAATACACTGCTTGAGGGGAACAGCGGGTTAGATAGGAGAGGTCTGCCGCGCCATGTGGGCATCTCTGCGGCACTGCAGAGACTGTGGACAGCTGCACAGCGCTGCGCTTAAACCACCTGTGCCACCAGGTAGGCCCAAGTTAGGACCCCATTTAAGGGAGCTTTGTGAAGGAAAAAGTTAGAAGGACCTGGCTAATTTAATCTGAATTGCCAAAAATCCTCCATAGGTTCCTGGGGTTAATGACCCAGAGTAAGCAGTGACTACAGGCCTGCACACACTGGTGTTACACAGGGCTTGTGACAGGCGGAGAAACTTACAAGACCCTTAGAGCACCTTTCATACCATCTTCATATCAAAGGGAGAATTTACTGTCATAGCAGTCAGGACTTAGATGAGCAATTTTAGACTGAGAGTGGAAATTTGAGAATCTTTTGCATAGAGATAGTTACTGAAGGCATACTTTAAGATGTGAGTGGGGATTTGCTTATAAAGAGGAATGCCCATGTGTAGGCACTGAAACACAACCTTTGGATATTTGGTAGAAAAGGTGAAGCCTTAAAGATAGAAGAAAGTCAGCAGTTACTTAGATTGTGTTTTGCTTTGGAGGAAAGGGAATAGAAGATAAGATAACCGAAACTAGAGTTGGGTGTACATTATATTGTCTGTGGCTTGTCTGTTTCATAACAGTAGAACAAATTATAATTAGTTACTAATAGATAGAATTTTATTACCCATTTGACTTTTGGGATATTTAACTCATGGATTTATTCAGTATTTATTGTTCCCAAAAATTAGGCATGATTTCTTATTTTACCCTTATGATTTATTTGAATCTGTCATACAAAATAACTAAAGTAAGATGGATCCTTTACTTGATAATACTCTTGTTTATTCTTCTAAAGATAAACACAACAAATTATTTAATCGACTTGGGGGTCCTATGAATTTTGGTGTAAAATGTATTGGTCCTCACTTACAAATACTTTGGGGATTTTCTGCAGTGTAAGAGCACCGTGGTAGCCATCTTGCCCACTGTTCAATGGCAGTTGATATCTCCTGGAATCTTAGGGAGCCGGTCAGTTAAGAAATAGGTCTGTCTCAGTATTGTGATCTCAACTGAATTTACTTTCATGTTTTTATTCTCAAAGAAAATTTAATATCAAGAGAACTTATTTTGAAAAAAATTTGTCCTTACTCTTGAGCTCTTCCTTAACTTAAAATCCTTTATTTATTTTTTAAAGGATTTATTTATTTATTTATGTAAGCACTGGGTACAGTCAGAAGCGCAGGAGGGTGAGAGAATTCACCAGAGCCTGAGCGGGGAGCAGAACAGGCAGAAGGACCGAAGTACACTGCTGAGGGGAGCAGTGGGCACGACAGGAGGGGTCTGCACGCCATGTGGGACCCTCGCTGGTGGAACCGGCGCTGCAGAGGCAGGCTACGGGCAGCTTCGCAGCCCAGTGCTCAACCACTGCGCCACCAGGGGAGGCCCAACTTAAAATCCTTTGACTGCTCCTATTTTTCTAAATTAAATACGTGTAAAGTAATAGAAATCTGACTGCAGGTGGGAAAACAATAGAGTGGCTGAATTTTCAAGGTATAGAAATCCTGTTAGCATGCAAATATCTTATTCTTCTGGGATTTTTCTCTAATATATGTGTATATCAAATAAAAAGTAGGGTAAGGATAAAATAGAATTGTTAATTTAAATGCACGTTTCTATATACTCTTCCAATTGGTTCATTCACTAAGGATTTATTAAAATCTTGATATTCTTATAGCGTTGTGCTAAGTAGATAATAATGTGTTGGGGAGCTCAGAACAAATGAAGGTCAAGATCTCTGGTCTATAGGGCTACAATTTATTTTAGAAACAAGGCAGATAAAGTACAAAATAGTTAGTTTTTAACATTGATTGCAGAGTCCCAACTGGATGCTATCTGTAGGAACTTTGGAGCATTTTGTACTTCTCATGCCATATATTATCTTGGCTTATAAAACTATAAACTCCTTAGTAAAGTGATGCCTGGTGCAGATTTCATATTAATGTTGAAATGGACTCTAACATCCATGAATTACCGCGCTCCTTTGTTTAGTATCATTTTTATTACACCATCCTTGATAGTATTTGGATACTGTGTTGGGCTTTCATTGTTTTGGGGAGGAGAAAATATAGTGAAGGCTGGGAAGAGCAGTCTGAGCAGTTGTGGGTTGGAACTGTGCATAGGGTATTTGAGCACTGATCCAGACAGTGGCCTGATTAAAAGCGTGTTTTGAGAAGCAGTGAGAGGAAAGGTTGCCTGGCTTGGATATTAGCAGACTGTGAAAAATTATACTGTGTATTCTTTACAGTTTCAATAAAATTAATTTATATTTTTAATAAAGTTTTTCAAAATTGAAAGTAATGTGTACATATGCCAAGGAATTAAAAATAACACAGGGTGTGTGGTTAGTAAGTAGTTGTTAAAAGAATCATAGTAGATATGAATTCACTTCCTTACCTACCCACTATGATCAATATCTTATATCTTTTAAGAGTTTTTCTTTTTTATATATAAGCATTATCTACCTCAGATGAGAGACTATGATACATAAGGACGGTGTAGCATGGTTCAGCTGTTTTCTGGTTGATAGAAATTTAGATTCTTTTCATGCTTTTGCAGTAATGCAGTGCTGGAGTAAATATCATTGCCCATATGCCTTTACATTAAAATTTTTTAGTGAAATTATAAGGAACATAGTTGACAAAGTCAGTAGGATGGAGGCTATAATGAAAACATTATTTTCTCTCATCTCTTCTCACCCTGAAGTTCTACTATGGACCTCTTTTGTCTGTTTTGGTTCTACATTGCCGAGTAATATGTTTTCTATTGCTATTTCTTGATTCCTCTCCATTTTAGTCATTTATTAGCTTCCTGCTTTGGAAAATGAGCTTTCTTATTACTTGCTATCTAATAACTTCCTGTTATGGAAGAAAATGCATATAGAATTCAACTTACACAATAATTTTAAATTATTATTTTGAAGACTTAACTGTTCTCTGGCATCCCTTGTTATCTACAAGATGTCTAATGCTATTCTGATTTAAGAACTATAAATGACATTTTACTTTTATTCTCAATATTTGGAAGATTGTGCTATCTTGCTGTCTTGTTTAGATAGCTTTAGTGTTTCTAAAGTTTTAGTTTTGTAAGCATTGCGTGTTTATCTGATTCATTCTTTCTTTGTAATGGTTATTCAGGAGTGGCTATTGGGACCTATCTAGCACTGTAGACAGTGGAAATAGGGTGGTGGTGGAGTTGGCTCCGAAGCAGTTGACTCTGTGGCCTGGGCTGGCTAGGGAATCCAGCTAATAATGGACTAAATGGAGTTCTCTCAAGGTGGAGAGCAACATGGAAGTAGAGGTGTTTGGTCAGGGTAATAGAATTAAAGGGATAGGGGAAGAATGTTACAGAAAGAGATGAGATTGCAGCCACTGTTGAGATTTTAGAGGCAGAGCTTGTAATGAATTAGAGTTCAACACTATTGGGTGATAACAGATTAAATTTGGTAGGTCAGATAATAAACCTATGTTATAGGGGTAGCATAAACATTGTAACAGATCATCTAAATTGCCAGAATCACAAAAGTGTCTGGCACATCACAAGTCAGATTTTTATCATTGTGTTCTACTTAATGTGAAAGAAAAAAAAGATACTGTGTTTTTAAAAGTACTGGGTTTTGTAATAGTGTGCCCCATTTTCAGTGTCTTGAGGATAACATTGTGGATGCATACTGTTTTTAGCTGTCTTGCTGGAAACTTAATTTTACTTTAGAGTTCATGTTTCTTAAAATGTACAAAGTGATAATTTTAATCTTCCAAGTAATGTGGCAAACTTTTTATTGATAATGTGTTTAGTATATAGAGGTAAGTGGATAACAATGGTGTAAATACCTAAAGGCTCTAGGGCTAGCGTAATAAACCCAAGCACTATAAATGTTCATCCTTGAAATGCTTTACTTCTGTTTGCTCTTGCTAAACTGCACCCTCTGAGTATAATAATTTGATGTGTGTTTATCAGTATGTACCATTACCTTCTTAGGTTTATCAAATGTTAAAGGCATTTTGATGGAAAAGGTCGGGAATAATTGTGTTTCCATCTTCCTCAGTGCTATGATTCAAGTGTAGACTATCAACTTGGTGATTCCTACTTCTTGTAGTTTACTTAGAGAACAAAGCAATCTACTTCCTGTGAACCGAAAAGAATGAACGCATTTTTTTGTAACAATGACTGTATTTATGAAAAATAGGTGACTATTTAACTGTTGTCATAAAGCAATGTTTTCTTACGAGAAGCCATGAATTTTTATGATTAAGGTGAGCAGATGTCCTGATTTTTCCAGGGGCAATCCTGGTTTGTACTTGTCCCAAAATACTATCCATGTCTCACTCCCTTTTACTACCTTGAGCACGGAAATATTCTCATTTGGACAATATATTTGTGGTCATTCTTTTGTGTCTCATTTTGAGATTTATGGCATATACTTTGAATCACTGGGTGAAGATATATTTTAATAGTCAAAAGAAGCAAGCAGTGGTTGATTTTGCCTGTAAGAGCTCGAGTGATTCTTGAGCAAAGTTAGTTTATGTGACTCCTGAGTTACATGAATTAGAAAAATGTTGGAGTTTGTACAGTCTGAGAGTTGCTATTTGAATTCAGCAGGTGTATGACATATTTAACCAAGGAGTAACAGCCTTTCAAGTGAATATATTCTTAATATCTTCTGCTTTGAGAAAGAAACACTAGTATTGAGACTTGGATTTATGAAATGTAGGATTTAAAACATTTATTGAACACTGACCTGTCTTGACTGTTTTCCTTTCTCCAAACAGCACTAATATTCTGAGAGAGCCTGTGTGTTTAGGTGGATGTGAGCACATCTTCTGTTGGTAAGTAAAAAACATGTAACTTTATTTACTTATTTAAAAAATATTTTTATTTATTTATGCATACAAGAACTGGGGTTTAGGCTAGAGGTGCAGTGGGTGAGAGGTTTCATCAGAGATACAGAGGGAAGCAAAACAGGCGGATCTACTGAAATAGACCGCTGAGAGGAGCAGTGGGCGAGACAGGAGAGGTTTGCTGCTCCATGTGGGTTAGCTCCCTGGCAGGGGATAGGAGATAAAACTCCATGCTGCAATGACTGGCCTTATCTTGATAGTGCTGCTACTCAACCCCTGTGCCACCAGGGAGGCCCTCTCTTATATTTGTTTTCTAGGACTGTTGTAACAAAGTACCAAAAAATAGGTGGCTTAGAACAACAGAAATTTCTTGTCTCATACTCTGGAGACTAGAAGTCTCCAGAGCTTTAGTTCCTTCTGAGGACTTTAGTTCCTTCTCCTGAGAGAAAATCCTTTCCATGCTTCTTTCCTTCCTTCTAGGGGAGACTGTTTGGTTTCTGGCAATCTTTGGCTTATAGGTATATCACTGATCTTTGCCTTCATGTTCACATGGATCTGTCCTGTGTGCATGTTTGTCTCTACCCAAAGTTCCCCCTTTTATAAGGATACCAGTTATATGGGCTTAGGACTCACCCGATCTCATTTTTACTTGGTCATCTGCAAAGATCCTATTTTCAAATAAGGGCATCTTTACGGTACTGGGAGTTAGGATTTCAACACCTTTTGGGGGAATATAATTGAATCCAAAACAGTTACTGTGAAATTATGTCCATAATGTTATAACATGAAAGACCTAGTTTAAATATTAGATTTCTATCTTACCCTAATTCCTTCTCCAGAAAAACCAAGTGAAGGACTGAACATCTTAGTGTAATCTCTGTGAGCGAGAGCTAATATAGACTCTTTTGAATCAGTCTTTTAATTCAAGTTGTGACTGATAGTCTGAGCTAACTACAGTATGAAGTTTAGCACATGTGGAAAAATTCACTGTGACTGAAGTAAGCTGGGATGTGTAGGTGACAGCTGTGTTGGGATTTTTATTTTGTTTCTAGAAATGTAGATCTATTACTTCTTTTTTAAAACAATTTCAATTTATTCTTTTAATGGTGATAATGTCAGGATTCTCCCCATCAGTGAATGTAGATCTGTTATGTGGGGTGTATCCGCCCAGAGAATGGGGTAGGAAATCGTACCTGTGGTTCTCTGCTATCTCCATTTGGGTGATGAAAGGGATTTCAAACTTGATATCTTCGCAGCAGATCTTTTGACCATCCTCTGCTTCAACCTGTTCCTGCCTCCTGATCTTCATAGCAATAAATGGGTCCCTCTCCTGACTGCAGAGCCTTTGTTTATGTGTGTGTTTACTGTATAAAACAGATATTTAAAAAATATTAACTCATTTAAAAATGTTGATAAACCCATTTATACACATTCTAATATAATACTCTAAGTAAAAGTGAGTATCTTACAGAACAAAGATTGGCACTATTTTATTTATATTTTTGAAAATCTCTTAACTGATCCTGCTTGTTTAGAAGACAATTAGATTTTCATCTGCTTGTGTGTAATTTGTTGGGATACATATTTTTGATTGGAGCATGTGAAGAAAATTTGGTCTTATATAGTTGGAGAAAGGAATGTTTTAATAGCCTTTTATAGATAATTATGGATATTATTCTTTGGTAACTGTACTACAACTTGACAAATGCTATTTCTTTAGATATTTATAGTGTAGACTCTGAAACTGTATGAGTAAACTTTCTGTATTCTGTTGCTTTAATTTTCATTGGTTTATCTTGTACTTGGAATGAATCTGTTTACCCTGCATGATTTTATGACATCATGCATTGATCATTTGGAAAATATTGGTGCACCGAGTTAGGCAGATCTTTTCAGGAATGATACATTGTTTTCTGGAAATCTGGATAAATGTATACGAAATAATTTGAGGACAGATATAAAGCAGACATTCTAGCATATATAAAATGGGCTTTTATTTTCTAGTGTCTTAATTAATTAGATTTCATTTTCTTCATCTTAGAAACAAGGTGGTATAATTGTTGATTGAGTAGATTTTGACTTTATTCCTTTTATTTTTTAATATTTATTTTTATTTGTCCATAGAAGAACTGGGGTGTAGGCCAGAGATACAGTGGATGAGAGGATTCACCAGAGACAGAGTGGGGTACAGAACAGGTAGATCTACTGAAATACACTGCTGAGGGGAGCAGTGGGCGAGACAGGAGAGGTCTACTGTGACATGTGGGTTAGCTCCCTGGCCATATCTTGATAGCATTGCGACTTTAACCCTGATGCCACCAGGGAGGCATTGGTGGCATTTCACTGGTGTTCCTCAAATAATTAAATATTGCACAACAATTGATTATTCACATCCCCTGAGGGGAAGAGTTTACCTATTTTGGGGTTCCAAGTTAAGAGTTCTATTTTTAAAGAATTATTTATGCGTATAAGAGCTGGGGTACAGGCCAGAGGTGTGGGGTGGGTGAGAGGATTCACCAGAGACAGAGTGGGGAACAGAACAGGCAGAGCAACAGAAGTACACTGCTGCAGGGAGCAATGGTGTGAATCCAGGAGAGGTGTGCTGTGTCATGTGGGTTGCTCCCTGGCCTACTGGGGATCGAACTCACGCTGCAGAGGCTGCAGGTTGCTTCATAGGTTGCACCTTAACCCCTTGCGCCACCAGGGAGGCCCTTAAGAGTTCTTGATGATGAGCTAATTAAAAATGTTTCTTAGCTGAAGAAATCTGCCCTTTTGGAACGTCTTTGGTGGCGAGGTGGGAGGTTGTGGTTTACAGATTGATTTTATATTTACTGGGTTAATTTATGTCAGGATTTATGTTATGATATTAGGATAAAATACTAGAAATGCCACAGACTTTCTGAAGGCGTTGAATATTGTATAATACTCCTCTGTGTCTACAAAGAAGGGATTCTCTGAAAAGGATTGCATCTACAACTATTGTATTTTATTACCCTGTTTTGCCAGACCCTATCTGGTGAAGCTAAGAAAGGCGTGGACTTTGAAGTTTCTAATATTGCAGATTCACAGATTTCATGAGATTGCAAAGCTGTTTTCCCACCCCCCCCTTTTTTATTAAAAAAAAAAAAAAAGACATCTTCCTTCATCATATTTGTAAAGAATTTGTAGCCTCAAAGTTAAGAAAACCCTCCTGACTATGAGATCTTGGTCAGATAACTCAAGATAATTCAATTGATTCTGCATGTTATGAAAGTATTTGAAAGTTAGACCAATGATTTTTTTCTCAAGAACTACTTTAAAATCTGTAGACACTTGTCCAAAAATAATGAAAAATACCTTTCTCATTCTCATAGTAATTTTAAATATTTACATGGAACACAGTGTTAAGGTTTAAGTTTTGGAGGGTTGAGATGTGTAGCTGCTGTGCGTTAGGTTCTAAACATGTTTGTTTCTGCTTAATGTTTTAGAAGCAGACTTCTAAACTGCTTCTATGCAGTTTAAAAATTATGCAGACTTATGTCTGGCTATGCAAAGTTTCTTCATAGCAAATTACATAAGCAACCTTAGATTTAGGTTTTGTGTGTGCATGGTATTTTCCAGAACACTGTTGGAACAAATATTTTATCATTGACCCCTGGTAGAACAGCCTCTACTTCATCTATTTTGTTCAAATTCTGCTTATTTTTTGGAATTCAGATTCTGCTGAATGTGTTGATACATAACTTTTTATTCCTTTTTAAGTAATTGTGTAAGTGACTGCATTGGAACTGGATGTCCAGTGTGTTACACCCCAGCCTGGATACAAGACGTGAAGATAAATAGACAATTGGACAGCATGATCCAGCTTTGTAATAAGCTTCGAAGTTTGCTGCATGACGATAAACTTTCAGGTGAGATGCACCACTTTTTCTCTTAGTTAAGTGACTGATGAGTTCATATTCGCCACATGTAGAATCTGTTAGGAATTCTGAGTATCATATTTCAGATTTTAAGATTTTGGGTGTTTGGAATTATTTTGAGAAATGACAGCTTCCTCAGAGATACTTAAGTCTTAATTTCCTTATTTTATAGGTAAGAAACCCAGGCCTAGAGAGGTTAAATGACCTTAATGTCATACATGCAATTAGGACCAGAAGCAACAGAAAGACTTTTTCACCATCTTTATTGCCTGCTTTTTACAGTTATGATTTCTGTGATGATTTCTGTGTAATCCATATGGACCAGTGATTTGTCCTTAGTTGTGTGTCACTCACTTAAGTACATTTTACGGGAGGAATAAAACAGTTTTCCTTGGATCACTTTTCTAGAGTGAATTAATTGAATACATTTTGAAAGAGTAGAAATCTTATACTCATTTTCTTTTCTATGTAATTGGGGTTAATTTTTTTTAAAGGTTTATCTATTCATGCATACAAGAATGGGGGTACAGGCCAGAGGTGTGGGGGGTAGGGGATTCACGAGAGATAGAGTGGGGAGCAGAACAGGCCGATTGACTGAAATACACTGCTGAAGGGAGCAGTGAGCGAGACAGGAGAGGTCTGCTGCGCCATGTGGGTAGCTACCTGGCTGGGGATCGAACTCGTGCTGCAGTGGCTGTGGTCAGTCTAATAGGTTGCATCCTAACCCCTTGCACCACCAGGGAGGCCCTGGGGTTAATGTTTTTTAAGATTTAGATTCTGTGTATTAATTATATATCTTTCTGTTGTGCCTTCTAACTAATTTATTTTTTCAGTTTTTTTTTTAATGGAGTCTTTATGTTTTACATCCCCATGTTTGGGATGGTTTTTATCATTCATGGATACTGAATCTTTCAAATGCCTTCTTTGCAACTATTGACATGACTATATGATTTTATTTTTCCTTTTGTTGATGTGGTAAATTATGTTGATTGATTTTCTGATGTTGAACCATCCTTTTGTCCCTGGAATATATCCCACTTGGTCATGGTTCATGATCCCTTTAATGCATTGTTGCATTCAGTTTGCTAAGATTTTGTTGACGGCTTTTGCTTCTATGTTCATCAGGGAAATTGTTTTGTAGTTCGCTTTTTTTGTGATATCTTTGTCTGATTTGGTATGAGAGTAATGTTGAGCTCATAAAATGTGTTTGGAAGTATTCCCCCTTCATTTTTTGAATGCATTTGTGGTTAGGTGTTAGTTTGTCTTTGAAAGTTTGGTAGAATTCACTAGTAGAACTGTCTAGTGGTGGTCGTTAGTTTTTCTTTTTTAAAAGATTTATTTATTCATGCAAACAAGAACTGGAGTACAGGCCAGAGGCACGGGGTGGGGGGGGGGTATTTGAGAGGATTCACCAGAGACAAAGTGGGGAACAGAACCGACAGATTGACTGAAATACACCGCTGAGGGTGTTACGGAGCAACCCCTTGTAAAATGGGTTGCCTGGCTGTGGGTCCTCACCCGGGCGCTTAAAAGGGACTTATTAATACTCTGCTACAGGCACACACAAAAGGTTAATAAAAGGTTTATTTACAAGGGAAAGGGAATTAAGGAAATGTACAACTCAGGGAGAAAATAGGGAGCAATGGGCGAGACAGGAGAGGTCTACTCTGCTATGTGGGCAGCTCCCTGACCAGGGGATTGAACTCCTGTTGCCGCAACTGCCCTACCTACTGATAGCATTATAGGCTGCGTCTTAACCCCTTGCACCACCAGGGTCTTTAACCCCTTGCACCACCCATGGTGATCTTTAGCTGAAACTTTTTTTTTTAAAAAGATTTATTTATTTATTTATACAAGCACTGGGTACAGTCAGAAGCGCGGGAGGGTGAGAGAATTCACTGAGCCAGAGCGGGGAGCAGTGCAGAGCAGGCAGAAGGACCGAAGTACACTGCTGAGGGGAGCAGCGGGCAGCAGAAGAGGTCTGCGTGCCACGTGGGACCCTCCTCTGGTGGCCGGGGAGCAGCCGGGGATCGAACCGGTGCTGCAGAGGCCTCGGGCAGCTTCGCAACCCAACGCTCAATCCCTGCGCCACCGGGGAGGCCCCTAGTTGAAACTTTTGATTACTGCCTCAGTTTCCTCACTTGTAATCTTTCTGTTCAGGTTTTCTGTTTCTTCCTGATGCAGTTCTGGATGGTTATATATTTCTAGTAATTTGCCCATTTTGTTTAGGTTATTCATGTAATGTGACATTTTAAATGGTGATAAGAGTGGGGGGAGGAGCAGGGTAATAAAACTTGATGGGTTGACTGTAGCCAATAAAGGCATACTGGCACTACTAGATACTGTGGGTACAAAAAAAATATTCCTCAAGAAATTGTGTTGTAGCTTGTAAACCACAGTAGTTTACTGTATGTTTGATATTGTTGGTATTGAAATCATCAGTATGGGGTTTTTATATTTTGTGAACCATAAATATTTCATCACTAAGAAATATATTTAGGAAAATTACTGGATGCAGGAAAAGTTTTATATGGGACCTGAGACCTCTCAGAAAGCTGCCTTTCTCATCTTAAGAAATGGCGGTAGTTGGGCCTCCCCAGTGGCGCAGCGGTTGAGCGCTGGGTTGCGAAGCTGCCCGCAGCCTCTGCAGCTCGGGTTGATCCCCGGCTGCTCCCCGGCCGCTGGAGGAGGGTCCCACGTGGCGCGCAGACCTCTCCTGCCGCCCGCTGCTCCCCTCAGCAGTGTACTTCGGTCCCTCTGCCTGCTCTGCTCCCCGCTCTGGCTCTGGTGAATTCTCTCACCCTCCCGCGCTTCTGACTTACCCAGTGCTTGTATAAACAAACAAATAAATAAATCTTTAAAAAAAAAAAGGAAATGGCAGTAGTCTGGTGAAAGAATTATGGTGATTTTTTTTCCCAAAGGTCATTTTGTGTCGATTTTTCTTTTCATAGCAAGTAATATTACTTTGTTACCATAGTTGAGCTTTGCTGACTTCATCATTATTTCTTTTTCGATAGGTTGGAATTTCACTGTTTGGATAATATATAATTTTAGGAGTTGGAAAATGACCTTAGTCCCTTTGTTCTGTAGATGAGAAAATTGAGGACCTTAGTTATGCAAAGGGTGGTCATATTGTTAGTCCTTTGCTTATTGTTTCAGTGCTTTCTTTAGAAGTAAATGTACTTCCTAGATTTGTTGAATTGAGTTGGAGAAAAATTGGCAGTGCTAAGATTAATTCAGATCCAAGAGACTAGATTAAAACTATTTTAAAACAAATTCATAGGTTTTGATTTCAATAATTCATTTTTTAATGATAGCATCCTCTGCTATTTTTACAGAAGAGGATATGAATTTAGATGAATCTATTCAGATCTGTAATTTCCATGGTACAAAGCCTTTCTACTGATTGTAAACTCTATTAATAATAATCATCAGCTTTTCCTCCAGAGATCCTCCAAGCAAACTAGCACTGAAAAACTTTCCAGGACTGTTGGGTGTATTTCTCTTTGTTTTTTTATAGTTTATCCATTCAGTATATGTTATGCAGTTCTTTTATGTTTCTTTATTATCTAGCAAGTACTTCTAAAGTAAAGGGATGTCAAGTAAATAGGAGAAGGAACTAATAGTTGAGAACAAATATCCTCTTTATAATGAGAAAATTGGAAAAGGACCTCAGTATAAAGTGATGGTATGGTATTCAGTGATCCCTAGGGTCTCCCTCCAACATCTTCAGTTCTGTTAAATGACCAAGAATTGAAGATGATAAAATAAGTGGAATGGGGGCCTCCCCGGTGGCGCAGCGGTTGAGCACTGGTTGCAAGGCTGCCCGCAGCCTCTGCAGTGCCGGTTCGATCCCCGGCCGCTGGGCGAGGGTCAAGCATGGCGCGCAGATCTCTCCTGCCGCCTGCTCTCCCCTCAGCAGTGTACTTCAGTCAGTCTGCCTGTTCTACTCCCTGCTCTGGCTCTGGTGAATTCTCTCACCCTCCCGTGCTTCTGACTGCACCCAGTGCTTGTATAAATAAATAAATAAATCTTTTAAAAAAAAATAAGTGGAATGGTTGGACATCTCACACTTTTCTCTATTTTTTTTAAACCCTGTATTTCACAGTTTATCTTCCCAATGAACCTTGTTACTTGCATTTACTATAAAATACATAATTACTGTAATTAAGGTAGGTAATTAGGAAGAACTTGTCAAATCATGGACATAGCATATGGTATACTGGAGATAAAGAAGGCTGATTTATCGTAATACTTTCTAAAATGAGCTTCTGAATACTTGAACAGATATTTCCCAGTTCACTGTACTTTTAAGAGAAGAGATTGTCATAAATTTTTCTGACAACCATTTATGGATAATTTTACCGTATTCTTCATAAGATAATCTGCTTTCTACTAATGCAGTTACATTGAGAAGTTTGTATTTTCTCTTGACCCCCAACATATTAAATTGGACCTTGCAGGTGCTGGTCACTTCTGTGAAGCATATGTCAGTGCTAGTGACATTAAAGAAATACTTTGATTATGCTTTCATAGGATCACAATTTCCTTTACTGTTTCTGTTTTCATGAGAGAGGCTAGTCGTTAGTGAATTTCTTATATGCTGTGACTTCTTTATAATAGATGAAGATGAGTGTTTGAATAGCTGTTTGCTGTTGTTTTTTGTAAAAATAGAACTGAATACTTCTTAACTTACAGAATAATCATTCTTTAGTGAAGGCGTTAATGTTGCACAGATGGTAGCAAAGCACTTTCCTTTGATTTTTAATAAGGGAATAGTTTGTCAAAGAGATTTCTCAACTTCTGTGGTGAAACCTATAATAGAGAAGAATTTGAAAGGCACACAATGTACATCATTATGATGCTTTGATGTAGATTAATGATAGCTAAATCACATTTTCTAATTGCCTCCCTTTTCTATAGTTTATTATTAAATTTTAAGAAAAAACTTGGCTAAACAACTCCTTAGCAACATGTGCATCGCTGTTCCT